TTTTCCATGATTCATGTTTATCCCAAGCATGAATTTACACGTTTGTAATGTCAGAAAGAGAAAACTTCAGTATGGTTAAAAAATCCAGCTTGGGATTTCCTGTAGAAGATATCTAAACCACATGAAAAATTGCATGATACCCTTTCAGTCTATAGCTAAAAACTGATGTAGAAATCAGCAGATGGACTGATAAGCACGAAGAACACAACTGTACCTGGCAAGTACTATAACCTTCAAAAACACTTGGCACATTTATAATATCCATTGCTGTGAGCTGATGCAGCTTAAAAGGTTAACAAATTTATACATGCCTAGCATTCTCATTTCTATTGTGGATATTTCCAAATGTGTCACATGTACTCATCCTCACTGAAGATTAACTGCACAACAACTTTGAAGTGTTTAAAAAAAAATAAAAGCAGCGTTTGTGTCTGGGGAAAGCAAACCCAGACCACAATACTTTCAACAGCACAGAAATAGATTGCTGCTTCATAGCTCAAGCAGATTGCCTGATTTTCAAGAAACTTTCCCAGTAACATTCACCTTTGCTCTGTAACTTGGCATTAAAAGCATTACGTACTACAGAACTGTAATGGAAAATATATATGAATTTAAAAGTAAGGTTAATTCTGCAGAAGCTATTCCATTTTAATTACGGATTTAAGACTGCAATGGCATATCTTTTAGCCCTGTCTGCTCTTTCCTCTTTATTTCAGTGTTTTACTTTGCATTGCATTTATCATTTCAGTAGAGAATAAGCCTTCTAAAAGCTATTTACTACTTTCAGTAATTGCATAGTGTTATGAACATACCTTCAAATTCAGATATCATATTCATAAAGCCATCACATACTGAAGAATTCAGTTATTTTGTGTATAACTGTCATGAAATTCACTTCCACTGAGAAATTTTTAATAGTAACCTGTCTGGAAATGACTGTGAAATATTTTTGTAAGTAACTGGATATTTCTTTTTCTCCAGTGGCTGTCCTAACTCATTTCCCTCTAATGTATTCTTGCTCTGTATGTTTCTTAACAAGAAATGTTCTGTTCTTCAAACAATAAAGGCAATCCTTCAGGTGTTGCTGATTCTGTTACTGCCTTTACAGTTGGGTAAGTAGTTGCCAGGGTTTGATTTGTTCCACTAAATTGCCTTTACGTCTTGTAACTGCAGCACACTTAAAGATGCTTTTGCTTTCCTTCTGGTGTTTAGCTGTACTTTTTATTAGACTTAGTTGCTAAAGCTGTGTTTACACCAGTTTGTTCATCTTTGAATCATAGAATCATAGAATCACCAAGGTTGGAAAAGACCTAAAAGATCATCCAGTCCAACCATTCACCTATTCCCAATAGCTCCCACTAAACCATGTCCCTCAACACAACATCCAGTCTTTCCTTGAACACCCCCAGGCTCGGTGACTCCACCACCTCCCTGGGCAGTCCATTCCAGTGCCTGACCACCCTTTCTGAAAAGTAATACTTCCTCATGTCCAGCCTGAATCTCCCCTGCCGCAGCTTAAAGCCATTCCCCCTGGTCCTATCACTAATGACACGAGAGAAGAGGCCGACTTCCAGCTCACTACAACCTCCCTTCAGGAAGTTATAGAGAGCAATGAGGTCTCCCCTGAGCCTCCTCCTTTTTGCTTTCCTTTTAGAACTTGTCTTCCCCCTCCCACTTAGGAAAGCAGGTCTAAAACCAAAGATATGGCTGGAGAAGGACCTCTGTCACTGCCAAGCACTGAGCATAGCCCTATGCTGCCATTGTGGTGGGCAGAAGTTGGCAGAGCTGCATGCTTACACATACCCTGGGGCCCAAACCCTCCACCTGATTAGCTGGCCTCTCATACCCAAAGACCTTCACCTCTTCCACGTACTTTTTGGTGTCTCCAGAGGTAGCAGATGGCAATGGAGAGATCTGATCTGGTACTGTGCACCAGTTCGAGCTGGATTACCTCTTGCATTTGAGAAAGGAAATATGCACAGAAGGATTCTGAATCACGTTTGTCCTTCTCAGGGTAGATTTCATACAGAGGTTGGCTAAGTATTCTGCTGAGAATTGCAATTTTGTTCTAAAATTGTAGGTTTTTCCCTAAACAAATTAAACTTCCCTTAAGGAAATGTAAAGATGAAAGATATTTTCTTTTCTAATACAAAATTCCAAAGGAGGAAAAAAGGTAGTAACTTTTGAAGCTGGCTTTAAAGTTTAATTTTCAACTTCTGATTGGTCCATTCATAAATCCTCTCACAAGCCAGTTGTTGTCTTTTTTTTTTTTCCTGACTTCATCTTCAACAAAATTTCTAAAGGAATGACTAACCTTCCTCCCATCTACCCTCTCAGCCTTCAGGCTGTTTTTTCACTTTAGTAACACATGTTCTAAAAAATGAGAGAAACATACACTTCCAAGGAAAGGCCATGTAGAAAGGTGTCACCAGGACAACCTGAAAACTGAATGAGAAGACAAAAAAGAAAATCATATTAAGGGATACTTCAAACAAACAAAAGCAAACAAAACCCCAGGAAATAGGACATGCAAAGCAAATTCATTCCTAAACAAAATCAAAGGAAATAAAGTAAATCCACTACACGCAGTACCCTAAATACCTTCACTTCTAAAATATTTTCTCTTCTCTCTTTTTTCCCCTCTTCTGCTTGAGAACACAATGAAGGACCAGCATCAGCCACCCTGAGAAGCATCTTACTGCAGAAACTGCTCCATGAAACTCAGTTTCTCCTCAAGGGAAATCTGTTTGTTGATATTGCATGGCCAATTACATTAGTCAACACAGCTTCTCTCTGCACCCATCTAAGCCATTTATCTGGACTGTGACATATTGAAAGAAATAATTTTTTCTTTTTGCCGTTGATTGTAATTTACTTTGAAGAAACCTGATCCATTTCTTTCCTACCTCTAGAAAAGTTTTTATTTTTTTCCAAATTAATCTAGCTTGATAGAATGATAATGAGATATTATCCTCATAACCTTATGCATGGCTGCCCTGCACAGAAGGGGTCCTGTGATTATAATTAAAATAGATCCATAGTCTGGTTCTGCAGCATGCCTGTGCACACTGCCAGCTGTTAAGGGAGCAGTAATGCCCGCTAACAAGGTGATAGACCAGTTTCAACAGGGTATAAAAGCCAACTGAAGAGTAGCTTACAGAGGAATCCTACCAAACATAACAAGTACCATATTTTTCACCAGTGAGACCTGATTGCGACCAATTCCAGCTATGAGCCAAATGTTTCATTATACAGGACATTCACCTGCAGACATTTCCTACAGAAATAATGCTTTTCCTCTGTCTCTTGTTTCCTTGTCAAGATAACTGGGTGTAGTTCTAATCTCAGTGGCATAATGCCTTTAGTTAACCACATGTTTTGGTACATTTGCAGCAATACCTTCTAAATGCTAAGCTCTCTTTAATTTCAGACACCATCACCACTTCCCTACAGGTCTCCCCTGAGGAATCTTCATGCAGAAACTGTAGAAAGTTCAGTTTGGAATCACTGCTGTTGAGAAATCATATTTAATTCCTGTGCATGTTATACAACATGCTTTTGGGGTCCCTTAAAAAAATTTATAGCAGACCATCTAAGGATGCTTTGGCTTCTGTATACCCAAATGACACAGTTAGTGGCAAAGGCCTTACAGTAGCAGAATGCTATACTTCCACATAAGAAGTAAATATAAACACGCTACACAGAAACTTTCAAAAAATGAATGGGTGCTGTTCAATAGCACTATATCACACTTTTCAAACATTGCCAGCTAGATTTGGCAAGAGGTCTTCTGCCATAGGAAAAAAACTGGCTATATAATTGAGGCAACCTAATAAATAATTAAAGAAATTACCTATCTCAATGAATTTTTTAGAACTTTAAATTTAGTATTTTATCATTAAGAATTTCTTGCTTGGTTTTCCAGGCAAGCTTTGAGAGAAAGGCATGTTTTCAGATTATAGATGGTTGTCTTTTTCCAATTTCCTGTCTTTTATACTGTATAGTGATCAAAACCTTGGAAGAGTTGGAGTGATGGAATCAACCATAGCTTGAAATGAAGACACTTCACTGTTTGAATTGCCATTTTTTCTTGATGCATATTAAAGCATTCTCTTTTTACACCACTTTAGTTAGTACTTGTTGTACAAGAAACCTTAATTGGGACCTCTGTCGTAATTAATTCACAGTTACAAGTACAGAGAGAACAGCTATACTACAGAACTGACAAGGAATCCTGTGCAGCTGTAAACAATGAAAGAAAAATGTTATTCATAATATGCACAGAATTATGCTTTGTGCTATCCATCCATAATATGTCTTATGGGATTAAAGGCAGACATTTTAGGTTTGTTAACTTCTATTAATTACATGGCTTCCAGTGTAAAAGGCTATATCAAAAAGATTCAAAATGAGAAGGAATGGAATCTCACGTATTTTCATGTCCCGAAATTTCATGAAATTTCATGTCATGAATCATGAAAAATCAGAATTATTTTCTCGTCATTTTTAAACTTTAAGTTTTCCATGTTGCACTTAATCTCGTCAGTTTTGTTCTTTTTGCTATTTCCTATGTTAGCCACTTTGCCAGTATCCTTAGTGAATCCGTTTGATTGATTTCAGACCACTTTTCCAGTGCATGATGATTACACTGTATTTTATTCTCATTCTCCCATGAATTTACAGTGCCTCCCTGAATTGTGTCATCTAAAAATATGATTGACAGGCACTATATTTCATCTTCCAGTTCATTCATGGAATCATTCAACAGATACGGCACATGAGATGCCCTGAAGCAAAGAATGGACAATGAGATACAGAAACTCTAAGACAGAATTTGTCAGCAAGATATAAAATGAGAAAGCTAGAAAACTGTTCTGATTTCTGAAGTATTTTCCTAAACTCCTGGGCAAAAATCATTAAGGAAAAAACAAGAGAGCCATTTCTTCATGCTTCTAATTCAGTCAGTTTTTATTAGAAAAAGTTATATCCTAGGGAGAAGGTCACATCTAAATCTGGATTCAGACTTCACTTGGATTGATATCAGATGTGCACATATATTACTTAAATATGGCCTAATAAACTAGGACAGAGGAAAATGGTGTTAACAATACAATAAATCATATAATGCACAATTACCTGGGCAAAAGTGAAGAATTATCTGAACCTGTAGTATATCAATACATCTACCAGTATAAAAAAGAAGAATACATACATAAATAAAAGCAAACAAATTGAACATCTGCAGAAGTTGGAATAAATAGGTACTTAATCTTTTCCTCTGGATAGCAGTGGCTTCCAGATAAAACATTACATGCAAATAAATATTTATATTGTTTTCAGATGCTGTCATATTTTCCAGTGATTGCCATGGTGATAGAAAAATCAACGTCATAAATACTGAACACTTAAGAATAAAAGGAAAAGTTGTTATAACATTTATTATTCTGTCTTGGTTTTTGTTTTGCTGGATTTTTACAGCTCATAACAAATGTGGAACAAAAAAATAAGTCCCTTGCAGCATCTTTTTCATTAAACTCTTATTTATTGAGCCACACAGTCTTAGGGATTAGTACTGCAGTATTTGGTAGCTCTCAGCTATAAAATTTACTTTTCACTTAACATAGTGCAGAATGGAACTAGCACAGGCACTATGTGTTTGTTAACCACAAGTTCAGATGTGTACTGCTAGAAGCAAACATGCATGCAGCAAGGGAACACAGCTAATCCTCACCCAAGGAAACCTATTTACTTTTTTTTTTTTTTTTTTTTTAAAACTAGACATATTCAGCAAAATATTAAATTGTATTGATCAGGCTGTAACAACTGGGCAAGAAAAAACAGATAATGTTGTTTGTTCTCTAGGACTGTTAAAGAGAAGCTTTCTCCCTTTCCACAGCTACTCAACTATTCTTTCTCTAGTTATATAAAGATGATCAGAACTATAGTTAAAAAAAACACGTATTTCATCGAAGTTTTTCTAAAGCCTACTAATATTGTAATTCACAGTCACTAGTAAGAGGTGAAAATGCCAGCTAGAGATTGCCTGCAAAATCTTTAGAGAACATTGTCCCTCTGGACTGAGTTAACAGCACAGCCCAAGATTCACCAGATCCAGCTGCCAGAGCATTTTCTTCAGAATTGCAAGGATGTGACTGGGTAACAGTCTATGTTCGCCTTGCTTTGACACATTTCAAATAGTCATGCAAAACTCCTGAAAGTTTAAAAAGAAAAGGAGAAAAGTTTCAACATAAGATTACTAAATTAATCATTTACCCTAAAGATGAATGAAGATTCCCTCTGAGAGTGTTAAGACTCTGGGAAAGAAAGCGCTGGAGTCTGCCACAAAATTTGTCATGATAGACGCTGTTGCAAGAATTTATCTTGCACTGACAATAGCTCTGAATGACAATGAACATAACAAACAAGGCCAATCAGGCAGCGTTGTCAAGCCTGCAGTCCCAGTGGCCCTTCAGATATGGTCTAATGATAGTTTGATGTTTCTGGCTTATGCTTCAGTTGCAGTGTATATAACTGAGATTCTTTTTGCGTAAGAGTTCTATAGCAATAATATTTTGTGCATGTAAGTTCTCTTGCCTGGATTATGGACTTGAAAAACACGAGAAATGAGAAGGTAAGTTGAGCTTGGTTAGATCAAAGGTCCTCTCAGCCAAACAGCTCATCTTCTGCAGAAAGGAGCAGTGACTCCCTGGGGAAGAGTATGAGAGCAGAGCAAACACTTAGCAGTACCTCTCTATTGTGGTCACATAGTGCTTCCTCATATCACTAGTGCAAGAGAACACTACAGTTTCCCTGTATTCTGTATGGGAAGAAAAATTACCTCCATATAAATGACAATCATTCGTTTCCAGATTCATTGCCTATAAGCACTTTCCTTGTTTTCTTCTGCTTAGAATAGCCTGTAGCAATCAGTAGAAACCTTTGTGGACCCAGATGTCTACATGAGAGTCATCTTAGTGAAACACTCTAAATGTAGAGAATGATTTCATTCACACATTATTTAACTTCTTAAGAACGCATTTGGATATTTAACAACCTCGCCTTTTGTCAACAGTTTATGGGCTGATTTGGCCTGGTTCTGTGACTAGTGGGGTGGAGGGACCTGAAGATCCGCGCCCTGGAAAGGGATAAGGAAAAAGGGCAGAGAGATGGGCCCCGAACAGAACAGTGGCAGTGATCTGAGAAGAAACAAACTAATATACTAAATAAGATATCAGAATGCAAGATAACACGCTATAATACAATATAATTAGAGTTGGAGCTAATAAATCAAATATAATGCGAGAGTGTCCAAAAAAGTTAAGGCCTTACACTAATGCTGAGGCAAAATGTGTGGTCAGGTGGAGCAACAGGGAGGAGACCTTGCCAGGGGCTTTATCTCCTCTACGAACACGAAGTCCTCTGGGATAACTGTAGTTGTTCTTCTCTTCTGGGACAAGTACCCAGAATTGGAGCAGTAACTCTTTAACTCCTAATGTATTACATGATGTTATGATGTGGAATACCAATAACCAAAAATCATAAAACCATGATGCCTTTTTTCAGGACAGGGCATACTGTATTCTTAAAGTTAGTGCAAATATATATTCTGAAGCAGCCATGCAATTCTTGTCTGCCAAACTGAGTTCTTCCATATTTTTAGTCTGAGCTAACTTATTTTACATAGGACAAAATATTATCTCCATATGTATTAATATGTGGATGACATGCTTATAGAAACACAAAGCCTGACCTTCAAATGGTATAAGAGGCCTGGTTCTCTCAGCAGTCTTTGAATACATAGTACTGCTAGCTATAGCTAGATCTACACAAAGAAGCTTATTGAGACCAAATCTTCCTAGTTTTAAGAATCATGTTCAGATTGAACTACCTTTTAAAGTTGATCAGAGTTCTCTAAGTTTCTGAGTTTATCTATGCATTAGGATGTAGCTGAGTGACTCTACCATGGTCTCAAATTTAACCAATTTTGAAAGGAAGATTTTAATACTTTCCTGATTCTCTTTCAGGCAGTCCCCATTGAGATTCTACATGATGTTTTGCAGGGATTAAATGATTCAGTCTCATGTGCTTTTATTCCCCCTTTTTTGTAAACATTTGAATTACAAATTCAAATGTATGAATTCAAACATCTAGAAAAGTGTCTTTCAAGATTCAACACTTAGATGAAGTGCCATGACTCTGCTTTTGTTCTATACAAATGCCCAGAGATCCTACACAGTTTCATAGAAAAGTCATTATATTGCAAAGTATTTTTGTATGTTGGAAATAGATAATGAACAGTGCAGTATTCAAAATCCAATTGACTTCATGCATCATTTCAAATTTTATGCTGCAGGGTATATAAATAACAATCCCATTATGAAAAGAAAAAGATCAGGTAAAAGTTGCTTAATAGAATATAAGGAAACAGTAAGTAAAGAAGAAAATAAGCCAATAAAAGATTATATATGAAAACAGTCCCACATGTACACAAACCATCTTATCCTATGAACCAAAAGCGATGCAGGATGAAAACTATAGGGTTGACAAGCAAATCAGAAGTCTCCAAAATATTCTAAATATCTCATCAGGCAAGAACTATAGAAAGACTCAGAACATGAAAAATTTGAAAACATACTGTATTTTTTTCTGTCTCTCTATAGATAACCTGTGTGCATATATATATTATACATACAAAGGCTGGTTTGAAAGTAATGCTTACTATTTTATTATGTTGGACCATGAAGTCGGATGTTGGCAGTGTGGCAGCAGAGGCCAAACCTTCCCAGCAATATTCCATGACATTTTGTTGCCACGTAACAGACGCCAGCAGAAAGGCAGTTTGACAAAATGGCATCTGATATAACTACATTTGACATGGAAATGCAGATAAAGCAGAGTGTCTCTGAACTCCTCCATGCAGGAAAAAATGGCACCAATGACACTCACCAATGCTTGTTGAACATTTATGGAGGCCAAATGGTGGAGGTGAGCACAGTGAGATGGTGGGTGGTGCATTTCAGCAGTGGTGACAGCAACAATGATTTACCTCCACTGGAGCAGATTTTTTTTTGCATGCAGACTGTTGTTCATTGCTAGTGAGATGCATGGTTAATGGGGTTGATTATGTTAAAAAAAAAAAAAAAAAAAGTGTTCTGTAGGTGAGAATTTCCTCTATCAAACAGGTTTACACTTACAGGGATTCTAGTGAATGGATAGCTTGATGGAAGCTAATGTTGCATGCTTGCAGTTCAGAAAGCCAGTAGTATCCTGGGCTGCCTCAAAAGAGGGGTGGCCAGGAGGGCGTGGGAGGCAATTATCCCCTCTTGTGATGCCCCATCTGGAGTATGGCCCCCAACACAAGAAAGATGTGGAGATGTTGGAGTGGGTCCCAAGGAGGGGCCACAAAGATGATCAGAGGCCTGGAGCACCCCTCCCATGAAGAAGTGCAGAGGGAGCTGAGCTTGTGCAATTGGGAAGAAGGAAAAACCTCACTGCAGCCTTAAAGTAGTTAAACAGAACTTATGAACAGGAGGGAGACCAACTTCGTATGTGGACAGATAACAATATGACAAGAGGGAATAGAATTAGGTGGAGTTCAAGGTTCCTTCCAACCAAGCCATTCTATGATGCTGATATATATATACACTATATACTGTCAAAGCAGCAATCACATCTAATTTTGCCCCAAAGCCTCTGCTAAAAGTGCTATAAATTTGAATTCCTATTGAAATAAAAGGGGTCTCAAGAAAGAACCGTATTTCATGTAAATTACTGCTAAAAACATAACATCTTAAGTAAGGTGATGACAAAAAAAGGGAAATGCTTCCAATAAACTTCTTGCTGTTATATGTCAAAGAACTTTCAAATATCACATTTCACTCATTTTTACTTAACCTAGTCAGCTCTACTTAAAAGATGGCAAACAAGGGCATTAAACAAGCCAGTTTTCCCTGATCTCTCACAGCAACTACAGCACAACTGTTGCCTCAGGACTTTATGTGCACCCTGCCAACCCTGTCAGTCAGTGACAACACACCACCTTCACAAGTCTAACCACAGTATGTATTCCAACAAATCTGTATTTTTGCTGTTTTGTTTGGAAACTCCTGTGTTGCAGGAGTAGCAAAGTTATTTCATATGTATGTGTTTAATATCTTGCAGCCTAAGCTTTTGCAACATGGACAAGAATGGACAGTAATTTTTTTAAGAAATAACAGCCACGACAAGGAGCAAAATCACAAACAGAGTCATGAATGTACAAATCATTAAAGAGTATACAGCACCACAGATAGCATTTGTTGACTCAGCAAAGACACCAAAAGGCAGTTTCCTCTTAACATGACTAACAGCTGTAATAGTTCTTCAAAAGAGTAGTAAAACAAGCAAGTTCTCATGGAAACTAATTGGAAAAGGTCATTTTCTACCACCTTACATGGATAAAAAGCGGATACTGACTTACGTTGTAGAGTAGCTTGATCCTCAGTGATCCATTTCCTCAGTCTCTCTAGAGCACAGAGTTCTGGAAGGAAAAACAAAGATGCCAGCATGAAGCAAATATGCCTTTGTACGATGGTACTCTCTCTGAAGTACCTTCCCGTTGAATCTCCTGAGAATTCAGTAGGGACAAACGATAAATAATTGAGAGAAAATAAAAAGAAATCCTGAGCATCCAGCTAGGGTTCAGTGAAAATAATCTATTTTTTTTTTTAATATTTAAAAATCTGCTTTTATAAATCTACATCTGGCCTAAACATAAAACATCCACAAAAACATAAAGTAACAAGAAATTTTCAAGCAGAATCAGACTAAAAGAAATAAGGAAGCACACCAAAGACAGTTACATTTATTGTAGGTTTATACGCTTTGTGGTGTCATTTTGAGAAAGACAGATGACTTCATCCCTTTAAATTAGCAATACCTTAAGAATAGTTTCATGATGTTTTCACCTAGGCTTACCTAGTTAAAACAACATGCAATTAAGTTTTTATGGGATATACAAATCACCCACAGTTTAAACTGATTGAAATGAGTGGGAAAAAAATCTTGACCGGCAGAGCCAGATCAAAAATTAGGACTATACAATTTTACCTTATGTGGCGAAATCAATTATTTTACCAGTTAATGTTGTGACTTTGGCTGACAGTATACTGTGCTTGGTTAAGCTATCTTGTTCATCATACAGAGGCCAGGAAGCCAGGTGGTCAACAGCTGTGGTACATGGTAATAGCTACTTTTCTGTTTCTTTACCGAATAAGGATTGTTTTAACATTAATAGCATTATAGAAAAAGGATAGTGTAAGACAATGTCATTTAAAGCACCAAAGTTCGTATTCCTAACATTTGTTTTTTTTGTCTGTTTGTTTGTTTTGTTTGTTTGATTTGTTTTGTTTGTTTGATTTGTTTTAAATAAAGGCCTTGTATATAGGCCTTTACCTTCACCTTCAAATAATTATAGTTTCCTTCTAAAAGATTCAGTTTTCATTTGAGAAACATATATTCAAAAACAAAACAAAACTTATAGCAATATAATCTCCTGGCAGAGCAACATGGAGAACTACATCCAAGACTAATGTGGGCTTGAAATAAAAACTTTCATGGAGGTGCTGGAATGGCTTGTTTCAGTGATTGTAGGACTGCGTGAACACGCACATATCTCATAGAAATAACGGTTTCCATAATACTACTTTTCTCTCCTGTTTTTCAGCATCACAAATTTCAACACAAACTGTAACCACAATGAATCCTACTCAGGGGTTTTCATGTTCTGGGTACTTCAGACCAAAATTCAAGATCCACACGACACAAAAAAATTGGGGAACTTCAAATTGCACTGTACAGCCCATATCAATCACGAACGTGCATAGTTCCAGGGTGAATAGGGCTGCAAAGGAGCTGACAAAACCTTTCAGTCCTCACCATTTTCCAAGGAACCCTAAGCGGGGTGGCTGTAGGACCTGGGCACTGCCTAGGGTTAGTATTTAAAAAGAGAAAATGCAGAGGCTTTGCAAGTCGGGCTGGAAAGGTGCTTCCAAAATAATGTTAGAGCTGCCAAAATCTTTTAGTTGTAGCTCCTTTTTGTGTGAGCCCTAGGTGGAGTTGTAGTGTAAAGAAATTTTTTTTTCAGTGAGCATGAGGAACTGGCATAGGATGCCCAAAGAAGTTGTGGATATCTCACCCCTGGAAGTCTTCAAGGCTAGGTTGGTTGTGCCGTGGTGTAAATTTACCTAGTGGAAGGTGTCCCTGCCCATGGGAGAGGTGTTGGAACTAGGTGGTCTTTAAGGGTCCTTCGAACCCAAACTATCTTATACCTCTCTAATTATAAAGCAACCATAGTTTCCTAATAATTAATTTTGGTTGGACAAATAGAATATTAATATTGTACACTTGCTCTGCTTAACTATAAAACTATTACCCATGTTCCTGTGTTATAGAAAAATGTCTGAAGTCTTCAACAAGAGGAAATGTCTATTTCCTTCCCAATATTTTCCTGATCATGAGAGCCAATAAACTCATAATTTTTCACATATATCCACATAAGAATCTTCCAAGTAGTTTAGTCACTTAATAGCAAAGTTGTGTTGGATCTGTAGTATCCTTTGTCTGACAGGTTAAAATAATTAGGATTAGAAGAAATTATTCATATGATTATTGCTGAATAGTTATGTCTTTTTTTCTCTTCTGCAGTGGCGTAGCTTTTTGCATCATCTGTGGACATAATAAAAGCAATGAAGAGTGTAAAAGTAATTCAAATAATTCAAACAAAGAACAGACTCAGGATACAAAATATTAGTGAAAAATAGAAGCAAAACTTAATCATTATATAAGAACAAAAGAAGATCTGATAACTTGCAAAAGCAGGAATTTGAAGCACAGTTCAGACTTCCTATGCCTTGACTCTTAGACCTTTACAAAACAGATGCGGATTCTAAGATAGAAGAAAATCAGTACTTCAAAAATTTAAGTTAAACGTGATAATTTAAACTGTCAAACTCACATTAGCAGTTATTATGTCTTCTAAGTTAGTTCTTCCATGGGTAGGCTGTACCTTCCTCACAGAGATCATATTAAGCTAGACTAGGGCATCTCTGATCTGGTCATGGCCAGTGATGAGTCAGAGCAGCCTGAGCCCTCTGGCATAATCCTATATTCTGGTGCCTATTGTGGCCTCCTGATGGAACGAAGTCCAACAGACACTACAACCCCAAATTTACTTTGTGCAGACTGGATTGTGCACTGGGAATCTTCAAACACACACCAAGCCAATCATACACACACACCAATAATTCAGCTACTCAGTATATTTGCTATGATGTGAAAAACTTTATAATCCACTGTTGGCCCTTAGAAGCAATGAAACTGCTTCTGAAAAAGCCTTTGCAACACCAAGTAAAGCATCAATAGGAATATCAATAATCATACATACGAAAACATTAACTCACCAACTAGCAGTAGAGTCTCCAGCTATAGAACACACCTTCTCAAGAAGTAGCTTTCATCCAGAAGACGTTCTCCCTCAGCTAGCCCTTAAATGAGCTTCTGTTCACATGGGAGGCACAGGTGAATTGCTTGTGCTGTGCTTCCTGGGCCAGCCACCCTCTTCACCTGGTGCTCAATCATCAATTCAGGCTGGGACATACATTTTTCCTTACATCCATACAAGAAAAAAAAAAAAAAAAAAAAAAAAGAAAGAAGGAAGAAACAAAACAAGATGCCAAACTGCAGAGGGGAAATTGTTAACAAATGAGTCCCCTTTGAATTATTTCCTTTTTACTTCTTTTCCACTACATCACTAGAATTCATCATTGTAGTAACTGCTAGTTTGTGTCTTGTTTACTTATTAGTTTTTCTGATGTGGTGACTTGGTTTTAGTTGTTTTCCAAGCCTGTCAAAGCTTTCATCTGTGCTTAACTTTATGGTGAATGAAGAATCAGTTTTTCAGTGGCATGGGCCCATGGAAATTCTAACACACAGCAGGGTGAATTACAGTTCACATATTTCATCATATAAAAACAAATGGCATTCATTAAGCATCCTTTTTACTTACCAATCTTGCATAATCAGTTTGCTTCATACTCATTATTTCTTATTTTTTGACAAATATATTGTGAAGACAAATTTTATGCTGGGATTTGTTCTTAAAGCAGTCACAGTGGCTATTTGTTATTCATAATTAAAGACTGATAATTAATTACCTAAATGGCATGGCATTATTTTTGCTTACAGCTCTGAGGACTGATTCATAATAGCTGGAGGTAAATCCTTTGTTTGGGTCCAAATAATTTCTACATAAGCGTTCTTAACAGTGCAGCAACTATTTTGTGTTAATAATAAAATGAATGTTTTCTAACTTAACCATAAGTACAGCTCATGGCATTAGTCACATCAATCCACACAGACTGTTCACAGCAAGCATTCCTGTGACTTCAGCGCTTCTGCAAAAAGAATCTATAAACATAGGAGTAGAAACTTCATGGTTGACTGGCCAAATATTGGTTCTTGCTGGGGAAACAATGCTGCATCAGTCATACTGGGAATCTGGGAGCAAAGAGCAGATCTCTTGCCAGGATAGCCCACAGAGGACCCCAAAAACACATCCAGGTTCTGCATGTGGAATGTGCATGGGGCTGGAGTCAGTGCTCTGCTCTGCCTTGGTGGCAGTGTCCTGGCAATGTCCAACAAAAATGTACTTCTCTTCCAAACAAAAATGCACCAGATAATCCCTGGTGCCTATCTGATACCACAATCTTTCTAGTTTTGATAGAGGTACCTGCAATCCTGCCCTGCCCCGCCACAGGCCCTGCTGAGCTGGGTCTACGTTCAGGACTACATCTTGGTCCAGACTCAGCCTATCCCCAGGGACATTCCCAACACCTGTGTCTGGGGCTGCCCTCGTGTCCCCAGCTGCCTGCTCCTGTGGGCCAGTGGGACAGGTGCTGGCTGCCAGGTCTAGCTCCTGGTTGACACTGGCCTGCATGAAACAGTAAAACATGGTGAAATAAACAGCATAACTACAGGTGTTTGTAAGGTCACAGAAAAGAAGCCAAATGAGAACAGAGCTCACTTCTTGCTAGTATTCAACCATATATTTAAACAGCAATCTTAAAGACAAATCTTAATGGAGAGCAGAATAAGAATCAAAGGCACAGAAACAAAATAGTACGTATATGGATGGTATTGTGAGCACGGGGAAACACAGGCTAGATCCCCAAGTGAATCAGCACAACTCCACTAAAGTCAGTGACTTTCCTCTATTAAGGAAGTCAGTGACTTCCTCAGGTGACCTGGTGGGTCACCTTTCACACTCACTTCCCTCAGACTGCCATCATCAAAATCACCCTGTGGTTTGTCCACAGGCATCAAAACCTGATCATATAAGTGGTCTGAAACCATCCAGAAGCATGCTACCGGAGGGCTAATTCCATTGCTTCATACTGCTGTTTCCAACAGCAGTTCTCTAAAATAATGGTATATTAATAATAATAATAAAATTGCTTTCAACAGCATACTCCTTTCTTCCAGTGATGTTGGGCAAACGTTCAATGGCAGGGTGAGTGTAGAAGGCACCAGGGAATGGTCCCTGTACAAGTGTTTCTCTGTAAATCCTTCAGCCTCAGTTCTATGGAGAGCAATTCAATGGAAAATAACTAAATGTTCTTTTCAGAGTCTCCTTTAAGAACAGAAAATTGAAGTATTTCTAACTTCTGCCTGAGACAGATGTGGAGAGAAGTAAAACTCTTCTATAAATGAGATATGAAGCAAATATTCTGTTACCCTATGACAAACGACCACAAAACTCATCTGAGGCTCAGTCTGGTTTTGAGATAGCTTGTCAGTGACCTGTGGGTGGATGGAGGAGGGACAGTTGCATTATTTTTTTCATTTCAATTCATATTGAACCTGCAAAAACTGCTCACATTATGCTTTGTTGAACAAAGTCCATTAAGTCTGTAGCTAAATAACAGTGTGAAAACAAGCAAGACTTTTCACAAATCAATCTTAAAACTAGTTACTCCCACACGTGAAATTGAAGCTTCTGAAAATGACTAATACATATATGTATATTTTCTGAGGACATTTATAAAATATGACATCTGTCTTGTTCTGAAATTTAGAAGCAGATGCTCAAACAACTCACAACAGGGAAACTTTCAGAGATCTGTTGACTCAGTTTCTTCAGGAAGCCTTATATGGTAGAGATCATTCAATATCATTAGTTTATTCCTATCCACAGAGAGAGTTATAAGGTACTTGATACCCCTATTCTTCATACTCTCCCTATATCACACCAGTGCCTACTTTATGAAGCAACACACTTAAGTTTTCCCCTCACATTCTGCCTTCTATTTGCACTTACTAGCCATGGACTAAATATGTCATGCTTAGCCCATTGTATAATCACGAAAGTTATATTTTTAATTGCAGATACACTGCTGTAGTTTTCATGAGTTATTAAAAAAAGACCGGTAGAACCAAAACATATGAACCAGGCTCACCTGGTGTGCCTCATGGCAGAGAAAAAATATTGATAAAATTTTCAAAGGAAGATCTTTCTATGCAACGATCTGTTCCAAATGCCAGTTTAGATTCATCCTAGTAGATACTTCACACTCCCTTTAATAGAAAAATACGATGTGTTTTCAGTTTTTCTTACCCTGATTGCCTATTTAACAAAGACTATGGACAAAAATGTTAATAAAAGAGAAAGGAAGTGAAGAAAAGATTCCACAGAAGATCAGGTCAGGTTACAGAGAGTGACTTTATCTTAATGTCATGAGGGACACTATGAGTGAGGAAAGTGCATAAGAGGAAAACAAAATCTTGAAAAATAATTAATTTCACCATCTGGACAAAAATTATTTTCCTCATTCACTCCAGATCTCCAAAACTGAAAATTCTGTTTTCACAGAATCACAGAATGACCAGGGTTGGAAGGGACCTCAAGGATCATGAATCTCCTACCCTCCTGCCACAGGCACGGCTACCAACCTCCTCATTTAGTACTAGACCAGGCTGTCCAGGGCCCCATCCAATCTGGCCTTGAATACCTCCAGGGACGGGGCATCCACAACCTCTCTGGGTAGCCTGTTCCAGCACCTCACCACTCTCATTGTAAATAATTTTCCCCTGACATCCAACTGAAACCTTCCCTCCTTCTTAAAACTTAAAAAGCCATTTCCCCTTGTCCCACAATTGTCAACCCTTTCCAACAGTTGATTCCACTCCTGTTTGTAGGCTTCCCTTAGTTACTGAAATGCTGCAATGAGGTCACTCCGAAACCTTCTTTTCTCCAGGCTGAATAAGCCCAGCTCCCTCAGCCTGTCTTCGTAGGGGAGGTGCTCCAGTCCCCTGATCATCTTTGTGGCTCTCCTATGGACCCTCTCCAACAGCTCTCTGTCTTTCCTGTACTGGCAGCTCCAGACTTGAGCACAGTACTCTAGATAGGGCCTCACAAGAGCAGAGTAGAGGGGGACAGTCACCTCCTTGTCCCTGCTGGGCCACCCCTTTTCAAATTTTCAAATTCTCATCCCAGAACTTCCCAAACTACCTGAAGTAAATTTGAGAACATTAACAGCATGCCTAAGATCTCTTTATCTTTCAGAATGTCAAGGACTCAATTAGAGGAAGATGAAATCTTCAAGGGCACAGAATGAAATGGGAACAAAATAAAAAGCAGGGGGACATGGCAGTGAAACAGAAGCCAGCAACAGTACTGAAACTTGGTACAGAAAATAAGGTAAACATGCATATGTGTAGTGTTAGCTAGGAGTAGAAGGCAGCAGAGAATGATAAAAATGATTGAATCAGAATAATTGCAAAAGCTGTTTTTGTTCATCAAATTTCTTTTGCCTTGTATTGCTGAGCAATGGACAAATTGAAAAAGTCGGGAAGCAAAATTTCAAAATTTTGTGTGATCATCTGAGAAAGAGAGAAAAGCTGGAACCACTCTTGTAGCTGAAAATTTCCTGTTTGCTTTCACCTACTTACTCCCATGTTTTCAGAGTGTCCATGTATAGAAACTGAGTTAATAACAGAATAGGATCTTTAGAAAAGCATACATTGTTATGGAAACTGGTGTGCTTCTTTTCAGAAAGATTTTTATAACGCAGTTACGATGCCTTAGTTGTTCAGAGTACAGTGTCTTGCTATATATTTTTTCATTAGCATCCCCAAGATTCCTCTGAAATAGTCAGGAAAGGGTTGTAAATACTATTGCCCTCATTTTATAGAGGCAAAATAAAGACTGAAGGGTAAAATAATTTGTTCCTGGATGTACACGTATTTTGGCTACAGCCAGGATGTGAAACTCAGTCTTATAAAACAAAGATACTTCTGTCCCGTTTTTTCCCAGAGCCTCTCCTGAAGATACACAAAGTAATGCTACAAGACTCCTTTGAAATACGTTCCTCCTTCAGCTCCTCGAAAATCAGCTGTCTTCCAACACATAAAGATGACATACACTCTTTGAAGACAATGTACCTGACAACTATGAAAGGAATTTGAGTGG